ATATATATATTATACCTGGTTATTTACTTCCTATGCAGTTGTGAGCAGCCATGCTATCAGTGGTGCTTTTAGAGATCTACTAAAGACTCGTGGCCCACATCTTGCAGACATTAGAGGCAGCAAAGAAAGTTCTAGCTTTAATTTCAGAAACAGCTTCAAAGTTAAATTTGGTTCCTGCCAAGCTGACTTCAGATAAACTGGAGCAGGGCTTTGAAAGCCACAGTATCCCTCAAATGCTATATGGCAATTAGCCACAAAAATTAGTGCTGTTGCAGGAAGCAAAAACTCCCTTTCCACTGCTTTTGCAGAACAATGAGCAGGCATAAAAAACAGTAGCAGCTAGAGCAGCCTGCTAGGCTATAGGATGGGTGGGGTATGAAAAGGGTCCTCTTGCCAAGATTCAAGAGCAATTTTCCTTTATTCTGATGGCTTTCAGCTGGAAATGCTGATTTTGCCTCCTGTACTGTTGCAGCTGTTTCTGCAAAGAATGCAAAAGAAGGTGATGGGAGAAATAAACTGGGTTTGGTGGAGGTTTGATCTTCCTTTGTAAGATTTCACAGGAAAAAGTAGGTCTGTCCTGGGACTTCGTTATCTGTGCACTTCACTGTTCCATCAGTTTATCTGAATTCATTTGCTTTGGTGTTGCACAGTAGTTCAGAGCAAAAGAAAACATCAGCTCCACACTAATTGCACTTCCTCCAACATCAGCAGTGAGAATTTTTTTCCAATGTCTCTCTGAAATCTTATCAGGTCTTGCCTGAATGAAATACAATTTGTTGAATTCTTCTGCTATAGCTTTTACTTCTGCTATGTCAGTGTTGAGATTCAAAGGACCCACTTTATTTCAGGGACCATTTACACCTCTTTGACAAAAACTGCAGCGTGAAAAAAATGTATCTTCCGTCATATAGTAAAAATGGGAAAAGGAATCAGCCCCAGGTTCACAAACTAATAAAATTTAAAAAAATCCCATAATAACAAAACTGTTTCTGGATGTAGTAGTAAGATATTTGTATATTTATATATATCAAATAACTTTTCATAGCCTCTGAAGACTTTCACAGTATTGTACAACATAATCCTACACAAGACATCAGCTTAAAATCAACTGTTTTATTTCCTTGCAAAACCTCCTGGTATTACATCAGTTAAATTGCCTTCCTTTCATTTAGCTCAATAATTTGCTTATTGGCTTTCTGATTTTTTTTTTTTTTCCCCTTTGGCTTTAATTTAAGTGAGAAGATCAGTTAAAAAGTGAAAGGCCTATTTAAGATCTAAGTGAAACAATTAGTTAAAAATAACAGTCCCTTATTAAACACATATTCATTTAGCAAAAGCTTAGAGGAACAGCTTCTTAAATTCTGAAGTTATGCTTAAAGCTAAGCATAAACTTGTGGGGTTTTTTGCTGAACAGGTGTGAACATGAGTGCATTTTAAAACGCTTTCCTGAATCATTGTCCAAAATACGTGCCTAAATCCTATTTACTTCACTGAGATTCACACATATGGCTTTATGTGTATGCTTAAGTGCCTTATCAGATTCTTCTCTGATCTAAGGCTGAAAGAGAAAGGAATGCTTTGAACTTTTCAGAAAAAAAAAAGTTAGTGAAACCAAGAGGAATTCTACAGCAATTCTATCCTAGCCAGCAGTGTAGCCTAGGATGTATCAAAAAAGAAAGAGTTGTAAAAAGTAATGTTAGAAGATGAATTTGATCTGTAATAAGAACTTTGCCCTAGGACACATTTTATTTTAGAGGGATACACTTAGAAAGGTGCCAGGAACTGCCATAATGAACATCCTATTGAATGACAGATTTATATGAAATGTGGCTTTGAGAATGGCAAACATCCAGTCCAGCAACAGTTTTTTCCTAAGGACAACAGGCAAATCACCCCTAAGAATCCATCCCATCCGGTAGATATGGAGAAAGAAATCCTATTTACTTAGAAGCTTATTTGTTTTTCAACATTCAGCAGATGACAGGGATGAATAGAGTCCTACTGACTTCAGTGATTACTGGCTTAATATGAGCCTACTGAAGAGTCAATAGTCAAATACCCCCACATTTTTAAATCCAGGAGCACCCACATGGGACTGCTACTAGCCTGTGGGTACTTATGTCAACAGACAGAATTTTCCAACCAAAATAATATTGCAAAGATCAGTCACCAAGATTTGCATAGTTCTTGTTTCCTTGAATGCTTGTATATGTGTGTCTACATATGCAGTGTGTGCAAGAGAGATGTGTAAATATACAATGGAGAGATTCTCAGTTTCCATTTTTGTGTCACAGAATTGTTTCCAAGCATCTTGGATGGCAATAGGAGACTTCAAGCACTAGCAAGTTTCAATGTTTCAAGTCTTGTTCAAATGCTGCTTACAGCAAATCCGAATTAAAATATGTTTTTAAAATGTTCTTACTGCTAGTCCCTTATAATCATTTTTCTCAAGGCTCTGATGGCACATGTTCTACTGCAAAACAGTGGGATAAAACAGTGTATTTGAGCTTCAGAATGAGCAGTCAAGGCCAGAAAAAGAACAGAATGGCACCTTAGTCTAATGTAATTGCTCCCTGTGAATACTCAGAGAGCAAAATCTGAATCTGTGGCAAGTAGGTTGAAGACAGACTTTTATGGCTTGATATGCCAAAACCCAAGGGTTTAAAAGTTTAGAATAACAACTAATAATATCCGATACTGCTGGAAATATTTATACGTGTTCAAGCAGTGCAGTTCTCCAGCCCGCAGTTGGGATCAAACTGTTTGGCACGGAGAAATTTCTGTGCAGATGGCTCTTCTGTTAGAGGCAGAATCCTAAACGCAGGACTCGTAACTATTGTGCCAGTTCTAGAGGCAGCCCTGTGAGAGTTCTACACTTGTGTTCCACCATCCACAAGAAAAGCTTGTTCTGTAGTAATATTAATACTTTGCATATGTGTTCAAATGTCTTAAAGCATCTCTGTTCATCGTGGCAACTGTAAAGCAAGTATACCATGGGCATTTGAATAACATGTCGTGCCCACGTTGCTGTCCTTGAACAAGGATCATAGCTTTCAACTGCTGTGCTTCTGTTCCATTTTATACAGTCTGACTGGAATTTCATTTCTAAGCAAACACACCAAAGCATGTTTTATTACAGTTCTTTTAAAACATTTCAAATTTTAATGACAACAAAAAGAAAACATTTATTGCTCTAGTACATAATAGCAAGTAGATATTATTTTTTGTAAAGTATTTTAAAAACCCCAAGAATTAAAATATTGTTTGAGGATTACACAGACTTCAGTATGTGATTATACAGTGTTTTAATCTATATTCATTTTATACACAAAATAAAGTTCATGAAACAGTAAGCAGCAAACTCTGCTATGTATATGTGTATTAGCTACAATTAGCAGCCTGATCCAGAAGATGCTGAGCACCCTTCACACACTGACTCCAGTCAGGATTAGAAGATGGTCAGCAGCTTCTAGGAGGGACCCCAAATGATGCACTGGAAGGAGTATGCGATAGCAATGTCAGTATTTCAATGGATATTTTCTTATGGAGACACTAAGAAAATGTATTTTAATAGTTATTTGTAAGCACCGGCTCACAACACTGCGTGTGGCTGCATCACTTGCACATTACATTTCCTGACCCACTGCATGTACAATACATCTAGAACTCTCAGCACCAAGAGAACTGAGAGTTGTAACGTAGCACTTAGAAATTAACACAGGAAAAATGTAGTTTTTAGTAGCATTTTGACAGTGAAGTTGCAATATTATTTTAGTGACTATGTTCCTTATGCAAAGGAAAAATATAAAGTAGTCAGTGACAGACTTCGTGAAATTTTAATACTGGCTTTCAGGTGTTAACAATCTAAAGTGCTTTCATGTTTCATACATTTTTAAAAATTTTCAATTTATTAAAAAGAAAAAAACCACAAATATTTATAGATTTATTCTATACACTTTTGAATGTACAATTTAGTCTACTCCTGTTTCCTCACCCAAAAAATTGGCATTACCATCTCCCAAATCTCTCTTTTGAAACCAAATCTGTGTGGTTGTTCCTTGAATATAAGCATCCAGAAAATAGCAAATTCCAGGGATATCACTGGGAAAATTTGGTGGAAGTTCTTCTCTTGAGCGAGGTGTGAACAAAAAACCTGGATACTCCTGTAACATCCTAGAACAAAAACAAATCATCTTGATTAAAAATGAAACAGTAACTAATTGTTACGGCAAGTGCAGACATTCAGTAATTCTTCATGTATGGCATGGGAGACTGTACCAGGGCAGAACCTAATTTAATATTTATATGTTATTTACTTAATATATAAAAAAATACTATTTATTTGGTAGCCTTGATAACCCAGTAACTTGTGCACCCGTGCAAACAGGAGTTTTGCCTCTCTTTTTTTGTCTTGTCAATGTTTTACATTGTGCTGTGTTTGTTGTAAATAATTTCAATCATGATTTAGTACTGAAAGCTAGCTCAGATTTGCAAATGAAACTGGCACCATAATTAATGTTTCAACTAAGAAAATATTGAAAAGCTCATTAAGTTTTCAGATCCTCTTATCAGTTCTAATAATTTTGCTTTTTCGCGCATGGGTCCACTAAACCCAGTGGTCTTCCATATCTGAAACACAGATTGCTAATCTGTAGGGATAAATACTGATGACTGGTATCTAAGCTTCCAAACAATTATTGCAATATACAGGGGTTGTGCAAGGTGCCATAATGTTATCAGTGTTCAGAACTGGTGTGGGAATCAAAAAGAAGAAAACACTAAACAAAAAGGAGGTTAACACATCATTCACTCAGGGAAAAAAAAAACACATGCCACAGCAATAATAACAATAGTTTACCCTTTAACCAAACTGCCTATTTTCTAGGCACTCAAAGAATTTTTTTTTTTTTTCAGTAGGACACTCATTTCATATATTTTCTTGAGATGAATACACAGCCTTGCAGAATCTACTTATGCCACAAGATACAGGCAAATCTTGTGTAGAAAAAGTGACTAATGATTTTAGAAAAGATGGAAGCCAATATCATTCAAAATGGTTTTCCTTATAGATACGGAAAAAAAATCCTGTGCCAAAGTCTCTGTCTGACATTGGCCAAAACACCTTGCCACAAGGTGTCCTAATCACATACATGGCAGTGATTAGGAACAACTGACTGTCCAGGCTATAGTGAGGATAGCAGAGTTTCCTAAAAAGGAAAAAATAATTGATATCCATATTTCTGGTTATTTTACCCAGCCAGCAATATAACTTTCTACTAGTGTATTCACTCACTACAGTTCGTTTTATAAAACTTTTGGCCACTCCAGAGAAACAATAATCTCTATCAGCTCAGTGGCATACAATTCAGACCTGGATTTGGACTTCAGATGTAGACTGTTGTTTCCATCAAATTCAAAACAGTTTCCTATTATTTTGCCTATAATAGTAAGACACTATTACTTGGCCATGAACATGTTGCAAGGTGATTTTTATGTACAGTTAAACAGATAATATGAAGAGAGTGTTAGGTTCAGAGGACAAAGGAAATACACTGTGTTTCCCATGGGAGAGCCTGCTACCTGTCTGCATAATCATGTAGGACTCATTACTAAAAATGTTGGATCGGAGTACATAAATAGCACAGCCTAAATTCATAGAATCATAGACTCACAGAATGGTTTGGGTTGGAAGGGACCTTAAAGATCATCTAGTTCCAACCCCCCTGCCATGGGCAGGGACACCTTCCACTAGACCAGGTTGCTCTAAGCCACATCCAGCCTGGCCTTGAAGGCAGCCCGGGATGGGTCATCCACAACATCTCTGGGCAACCTGTTCCAGTGCCTCACCACCCTCTTCGTGAAGAACTTCTTCCTGATATCTAATCTAAACCTCCCCGTTTTCAATTTGTACCTGTTACCCCTTGTCCTGTCACTACAGGCCCTTGTAAAAAGTCCCTCTCAGCTTCCTTGTAGGCCCCTTCAGGTACTGGAAGGTGCTATAAGGTCTCCCTGGAGCCTTCTCTTCCCTAGGCTGAACAAGCCCAACTCTCTCAGCTTGTCCCCACAGCAGAGGTGCTCCAGCCCTCTGATGATCTTCGTGGCCTCCTCTAGACTTGCTCCAACTGGTTCCATACAAAAATGTTTAAACTGAGTTGGGATCAAGCATCCTGCATGAACCAAACACTGGTGCGGTTGAGTCACTGCAACCTATTCATTCATATTCCTAAACCAAAAGATGTGTAGGATGAGATTTAACAATTCTTCAGTTAGGTTGTTCTTTTCAAGGGCACCTGCAGCCAGCTTGGCATCCAGTTTATACTGAAAGCTACATAGCTCAAAGAGGAGCCAACTATGTGAGGAAAAAAAAAAAAAAAGAAAAGAAAGAGGTATAGAGATTTGGGCTAAGAAGCAAAATTGGCCCAGACAGTCCATTTATTTTAACTATAACATCTGACAAATAAATATCAGCTGTTCTGTTTCACCCTTTTTCTTGCTGCTGTTGGTTGCATTCTGACTAAAAATAACTATGGTGGATTCATGGCCAGTCAGATAAGAAAGAGAAAAAGAAAAATAAACAGTAGTACTTCAGAGCAGAAAAAAAACAAGAGCAGGAAGATAATGAACTATTACAGTAACTACTTCAGGTGGACATTTTACAGATAAGAAGCACTGTACCTGTAAGTTGTTGGGCTGACATTTATTTTTCTAGGTACACTGCAAGATTCAAACTTATTAGCCAGGGTTACATTATTTCCGAAAAGGCAGTAACGAGGCATTTTAACCCCAACAACTCCAGCAAAGACAGATCCAGAATGAAGGCCAATACGCATCTTTAAATAAAAGACAGAAAACAGTATTATTAAGTAAAATGGTTGAAGTCAGTTTTACAAATTCTTCCTCTGTTTAAAAAATATAAATTAGTAAAGTCACCTTAAAATGTCTGTATTCCGGTCATCACTGCTCATGGAGAGGAAACTAGCTGAAGCTTACCTTGCTATGTATTTATATTAAGTAATCCTTCATCTGATAGGACTGTTATAATGCTGATCTCTATGGCAGTAAATTGATCTAGAAACATCAGCAGGAGTTACTATGACAATTGGATACTTTCCTGGGAGGAATTACATGACCATTGTTGTTAGAATGGTGACAGTTAATGAACAGCACTTGCTTCGCTGTTAAGGTCAGAAGACAAGTCTTAGGGAATAGCACAGACAGCATCTGTACGCTCTAGTTCCAACTGAAGTCTATTGACAATGTTGCACATGCAGTAAATCCCAACCTCAGAGTACAGAATTTTGATAATTATTCAAATTATACAGCTGTTGAAACATTTTGATACCTCTTCTTTGCAATTTAGATTTTTGAGTTTTGCTTGGCTGGTGCTGCTTTCTATCTTCCTTTTTTTTGGGGTTGGGGAGTGGAGACGTGTTCTTCTTCTTATGTGCATTATAAATATATGGACATATTTTCTTCAGAATAGCACTCTGACACAATAATGGCATGATGTTGGGAAGCTTGTGTATCTACTATGTGTGCAGCTCTTTACATATCAAGAGAATATCATGAAGCAATCACAATTACTAATTTTGAGTGGAAAAGCAGAACAGCCTGCAGCAAAAATATATACATTGAATTACCAGTCTGATTTACAGTAAGCAGTTTGCAGTCACACCTTTTTCTTTGACAATTCATACACAAAATGACAGTAGACTGTGTGACAGATCTGCTGCCTTGCAAAACAGCCAATGCTTTCCTGAAGCATTTAATTAAAATAGATGCATGCTTTAATTAAAAATAGAAAGATTCAATTTTCTTCTAAAAAGCTTCTACTAAGTACCTATAAATATTTTTCTCCCGATTTTAAAGTCACTTTTAAAAATGTAATAGGATTTCACATTCAAAATTACAGAGGTAGCATTTGCTTGGAAATTATAAACATATTATAATATTTTCAAGATGTTTCCATATTTTTTCAAGGTAATTTAAATTGATATTGTGAAATACAAAAAAAAGGGTATTTATTTATAATATAATACTGCTGTTTTCTGTGATAAATGTGGAGCATGTAATACTCTTAATAATGATTTTCTTTGTCTCGGAAAACAAATATTCCTTAATCTAAAATCAAAGAAACCTGAAGTTTTCTGAAGAAACAAATGAACAGATAGAAGACATAATGAACAGAGACACTGTTATTAAAAATAATAGGTCCCAATTCCAGGGCATTTGAACTTAGTAGAAGGTCTGCATCATTTGTCATGCAGCCAGACCCTTCTCTTTTTTCTCCTGTGAGAGGTAAACCCACATGAAAAGTTCCATACATATATAAGTTCTCATTGAAAGGCAGCCATAAATATAACTACCGCTGAATGTAAGGGTTGCTTTGACAGCATTAACACCATTTTTTTTGTTCAGTATCTGTCTGTAAAACAAGAACAGTAATAGAATTCTTTTAAGATGTGTGGATTACTGCAATCAGAACATGTCTTTTATGATTCTTATTTATAACTGTTGCCTCAAAAGACTTGGATGTTCTCATTAGGTCTAATTTTGAGAGAGGATTAGTCTCCTCATTAGAAAACAGCAGCAGAATGCTCCGTGCCACTGACAAATGTATTGCTACTGAGTCAAAAACAGCGGCATGTCAGTGTGCACCAATTGATTTCACTGCATTTAAGTATTTTGGTTTAATTTTCAGATCTCTGTTTCATCTTCACCTCTCCACAAAACTCTTCATTCTAGTTCTAAAACTAAAACTCTCATTTTAGTTCTAACTAAAAAGGTCAGCCTCTCCAGCCATACCCACTGGATTCCCCAACTTGTCTGAATTAATACAATGGTGTGAAGTTTCCTTGAGACAAAACCCCCCAAAGCAACTATACAAACAAAAATGCCCACTTTAACCATATAAAATACAGTAAAATATATGACCTTGATAGGCTCTCCATGGGGAGACACCACCTCATCTGACAGCTCCATCATCTTCAGGGCCATCAATGCTATTTGAACAGCATGAGTTTCACTTTCTTTGTGTAAACCTCCAGCGACACAGTAGGCATCTCCTATAGTCTCAACCTAAAACAAGCATATTTGTTCCTTAGTATTACACTGTTTGACATATAAAAGAATAGTCTGTGGCTTCAGTAAGAACTGTACCTACATATTGACTGAGTCTTATTTGTCCTGCTAAATTATTTAAGTCCTGAGCAAATCCTGTAGTGCCATTCAGAAGGAAAAAATTAATAACTTGCATCTATTGCTGGTCATGATGCTAAATACTTTTCCTTGCTCCCCTGCTGTCAGACATCCATAGCTACATTAAACATCCAGATTTACATCACTGTTATTGAAATTATTTTTTAAAATTAACTCTTCATGGGTTTCTCTCCTGGTTCCACGAACAGCTGATTCTGTTTTGTGATTTATCTTAATATGTCTTTATTATAATGAAGGTTTAAGGCAACATAATTTTTGGACTTTTATTATCCTATGTCCCATTTAGTCTTCATTTCCTTTCCTGCCCCAGAACCCCACAGAAATGTAGTAAATTGTGTACCTTGTAGACATCTAGCTCTCCACATTGGTAATCAAAGCGAGTATAAAGCTCATTAAGCATGGTGATAACCTGCATAGGTGAGCATTGGGAACAGATGGCAGTGAATCCAACAATGTCAGAGAAAAGCATTGTGACATCATTAAATTTCTTGGCTTGCACAACTTGTCCCTGCCACAGCTGCTGAGCAACCTCTCCAGGGAAAATTGAAAACAGAAGATCTACGGTCTTCTTCTTTTCTTCTTCAAGTGCTTGATGGGCCTGCTCAAGGGTGGCTTTTAGCTTTCCTAACCTCTTCTTCAGTCCATCCTGAGCTCTGGCCTGCTCTCCTATCAGAACAACATCTCTCAATGCATTATGAATTGGAATATCTGAGAGGTACAATCCACGTCCTGTAAAATCTTCTAGTCTGTCCACACAAGGAGATCCCAAGAATAGGATGGCACTGGATTCCAAAATATAGATCATTTGGCCTTTAAGATCCATTACCTGAAACAGTTAAAGAAATAAGAATTCACGCAAAACATGCATGGCAATGATTTACAAGCAAGAAGATTTAGAGGAAATACATTTTGCTGAAAGGTAGGAAAATCAGACTAGTCCATAGTCCTTACAATTTCGTTTAGTTGCTGAAGAGAAAGCATAGTGTGCTGAATCAGAGCCACTGAGTTTATTTTGCTTGAGCCTTCCGGAGCGAAAGTTCGACCACAACTTAAGAATAAACACCTAATTATGTTTGGGTATCAGCATCAGTTTTAGCTTAGGAAGAAGTGAAAAAACCAAAAAGAAGAAACTTGTGCATTTTCATCTGTTGATAAAACATTACTGACTACAGTAGCCTATGAATTTCTGCCAATAACTCTAGTGTTCAGTTCATGTACCACTTTCCTTGTAGGTTAAAGAGAGAAAATCTGCTTCAATTTTATCATAGGATGTTCAATACTCACTGTAATTTAAAAGTAAAGGCACAAATGGCAGAAATATCCCATTTTAATGATCTAAAAAAGCAAATATTTTGTATAACGTGTTTTTATGTCCTATCCATATTCAGTTGTGTAATGTGCAAGGTACTGCAGAGCTCTGCTTAACACTGCTTTGAAAGAAGAGTTTTTGAAGAAAACCTGTTAGTTGCTAATGGACATTTGCATATGTAAGTAGATGCAAAAGTAAAGCAGAGTCTACTAGCCCTTGTAATCATTCGACTGTTGCTTAGTGCAGAAATGGATCCAAGGTGAAATAGCTAAGCAGTGCTACTTTTTTCCCCACTTCATTAGTAACTGGGTGAAACATTTATTACTTTTCTTCATTTAAGTTCTTGGAGTGTTTAGTCTCAACTTGTAATTCATCCTGGAGTGCCTCAGGTGTATATAAACTGGAATTCAGCTGGGGCAGTGATGAATAACAGCAGTCATTGAATATTCAATGTTTTTTACTGTCCCAGGTCATTCGCCACAGACCCAGCTTCAGCAAAGATACTATATAATCCCATCAGCTGAAACTAAGTGGGACCTCTGGTGATTGGGCATCAGAATATAAAATATGCCAAAATACCAAAGGTACCATAGTCTGAATGAGCACAGGAAATTCCTGCTTCTTTCCCCAAATCCTAGAGCTGCTGTTTCCAGATGACTGAGAGGTACTTTGGTAAAGCTTTCACTGCCACTGTCTTTGTGTTAGAGATGCCATTATTCTCAGCAGCATGGCATGTCATTGGTTTTATCTCAATTTACTGACTTTATATTTCAAATTTTTATTAATAAAATCAAGTTAATAGTCAGATTTTACTTGTGTAAAAGTCCTAAAGCAGAGTGTTGACTGAATATTGATTTCAGAATCTGAATTACATTAGAGCGACCTCAATAAATCGTTATTATTCAGTTGTATTAGAAGTTGAGAGGTAGACAACACAAAGTGCACCATATTTTTGTGGCTATTTTAACTCTGAAAAAAAATAATTCCTCACAGAACTTCAAGTTATAAAAAGCCTCTTACCATGGATGATTTCATATCAGTATTATCCCATCTTCTGACTCGGACAGTAAACTGCATATTTAGCATTGTCATTATTCCACTAAAAGTACAGTTTACTTTGGGGGTAAGAATTTCAAAATACTCTTCAAAATTGGGCTTAGCTTGAAATTCTCTCCTGGTCAAAAGTCTTCTTATCCCATTTCCAATTTGAAGAACTGACATATCCTTGTCAAACATAAAATGAAATGGGAAAGTCTTACAGAACATAGAGGCAGGAATCACAAGTGACGACTGTGGTTTACATGGAGATAAGGAAGGTTTTGCACTTTTGACCTGTATAGAGTACAGCAAATAAGGCTGATTAGCAAACTCAGTGCAGTCATTATTATGGAAACAAGGAGGCATGAGCATCACTTCCACCTCAGTTTCATACAAAATATGAGCTGCTGCTTTAATAATACCAGACAGAATAAGACTCGTGATTTTCTTAGGAAAGAAATAATACACATTTAAGAAGTCCTGATCTTTCTCCAGGCATAATATGGAGGCATCTTCAAGTCTGTCCTTTTTTCCTGCTTCTTGGCTGTGGCCACTCTGCTTCAGCAGAGTAGTGAAACTGTTCAAGAAGTCCTTAAGCGTTCCTCCAATAACCCCTAATATGTGTTCATCCTCTTCATAGCATATTTTGAATAGCTCTTCACCAAGAGATTCCTGTAGAGACTCCACGGGAACACCTGCATGGAACCACGTTTTAGTCAGAACTGCACTCATCACGCCCAGTCTCAGGCTAACCTCGACTTTCTTTCACCCTAGACCAAATCAAATTAGCAGTATCCTTCCCTTCTCCAGGACTGACACCTGAGAGCCCTCTCATTTAGTAGTCCTGCTGTAAACAGAGACCTACTCGTCATGCCTGGAAAACAGGGAGACAATGGGCTCTAGTTTGAAAAGATCCAAGACTCGGTGATCTTTGTGGAGATGTAGACAGAAGGAATGCACATTTTGGCACAGGATTTAGCCCAATTCCCTCAACTTGATATGAAGAAATAAAGTAAGAATTAAGAAGCTTTAAGAATACAAAGTAAGAATAAAACAGGATCTGTCCACACATGCAAATATAAGTACTATGCCTGATCCAGTAAATTAAATGACCCTCAACTATCCCAGGGTCACTGAGGCCAACTGGCACAGAACAGCTCACATCTTTCCTAGTAAATTTGTTTTAACAGAATAGCTGCATGCAGACTGACTGTTGGGAATGTTCCAACTCCCCAGCTGTTACTGGGAATCATTTGGAAAAGTGTTATCTGTCACAGGCCAACTGTATGCCAGGACCAGCTTAACAGTTTAAGTGTGCAGAAGATAATGTTTTGGTTCCTGGAAATGTTAATTTACTGTTACAGATGTAGCCAGAGATTTCCATATTGCTAATTACAGCAGTTGTTTCTGACAGACTAGAGTCCTTCAGAAGATGAAAAGAATCAATCAAACAGTTTTCATGAGTAAAAAACTGTAACTTATAACTGAATGTTCATTACAACTCCCTCCAGATGTTGGATCTTAGAGGTGGGTGGTTCTATGACAGCTCAGACTTGAGAAACTCATCTCTAGCTCAAATTTTGACACTCTGAACTGTTAGTTGCAATTCTTAGTCACAATTTAGTCTCTGTGTTATCAGCATCACTGCAGCCCTTCCCATGGAGGAAATTATTTCTTAGTAAGAAGATTAATGTATACATACTTATTTTAAATATGATCTATATATTGTATATATCTATTATTAAACAGGTTTACATTACCTGCTGAATTAGCATGATCACTGAGTATTTTTTCAAAATCTTCTCTATCCCCAGTTTTCCTGTAAAGATCATAAAAATATAAATAAACCCCCTGAAAAATCAAGATAAACATGGCAAAAATAGTAACTAACAGAAGTTACCTATCCTGTCCTTAATGTGTACAGACCAACTTTTGCTCAAATTGGCAGGTTTTCATTAATTCAAAATGGGGTTTTGGTAGGATCTTAGATTATCCTGTGCATTTGTGATAAATTAAAGGTTTAGTGGTCTGAGCTCAGATTATGGATTGAGGCCAAATGCTATAGACTGTCATTGATTAAAAACTCTTAGGTTGTAACCATCTTGGGTTTTGTTTGATTTGGGTTTTTTGCTTGAAGGCATAACTATATTTCATAAGGTATTGTAGAATATAATTGGAATTTATATTCAAGCATATATTGGAATTACATTGCATTAAATTCAGAAGCAGTGAGAAGGTGTTTTCTGTTTTGAGAGGAAATATGAATGACAACTATTCACTTCAAAATTACTTGTTCATTGGTAATAATCCAGATTCTGTGACACAAAACTGCAGCCCTCTGGGTTCTCTGAGGTCAATAAATGGCAACCTGAATGTCAGATCCAAAATGATGAGAAGGACACGTAGCTTAGATTAACCTCCATATATAAATAAGCTTTTGATACATGCTTCCTTAATTTCTTCACTTGAAATATCTCAGATACATTTATATGCAAAAGCAATGCCAACATCTAGATCTGTTTTATATTTGCATTATTACATCTTTCAGAATGGCATAACAATTTTTTTGCTTCAGTCTAATGCTCCAAGAATCAACACATAATTAAAGATAGGGAAAATAGTCGTATCAGGAAGACAGTCAGCAATTGCAGTGCACATCTGACTGCTATCTTTGGTTCAGTCATTGCATGTAAAGCGCTTTGAAAATTTCAAGTATAATTTAAAAGATACATTGCAATTTTCTATTCTTATCATGGTGAGCAACACTGTGGTTTCCAACTTCATTATTTTGCTCTGCTTCTGAAAGCAGATTTAAACAGAGGGGCTTATATTTTCAGATGCATTCAATAAATTGAATCCTTAATGTATAATGAGATGCTAAGTAATTCTCACTCTCTCTAAGTCTAAAATGATTAATATTAGATTAGTACTAAGGAGTGATGAAAATCAAGCTGAGTTCATCGGAAACAGAAAACAAGCAAACTGAGCCCAATGAAAACATGCATGTTGGTAGCTGTAGCATATGATTGTTCACTGTCTCAGAAGCCAACTTTATTTTTGTGTATTACTAATTGTTTGCATTTAAATTATTTTTTTTTCCTGGGATCTTAGAAACACTGAGCTGGATCCATATACAACCACATGTACCTTCCCATCTATGCCTGAGTAGGCTCTGAGTTCCTGCAAAACACTTGCTCATTTTAAACTGAAGTTGCCCTTGCCTGTTTCCCTGCACAAATGGCTACATTTGCCCATTAGGTCAACTTTGTGAGTGCTTTAAATATTTGTGAATAGTTTAAAATAAACTAAATAATTAATAATTTACATGACATGAAATGTTGCGCATCAGTTTGACAAGATAATTGGAAACAGATTTCAGAAGTCCCGATTCCCAGTCACCACCCTAGTCTTTATGAATTGTCTGCAAAACATTTTTGCAGGGAAGTTAGTTGCAAACCCACATACATACCTGGTTTCTTTTATTCTGTATTTTGCAAGTGTTCTCTGAAGTGCAAGATTTAGCCTTTCAAACTGGGGAAGGAAAAAAAGGAATGTTGATTAAAATGTCATCATTGAAAATATAATAACATTTTTATACAGATAAGAATCACTTCTCTGTCCTTGTGACTAGCATCTTTTTTCGAGCTGTATAGTTGTTAGAAACAGCATGTCATTTCTGTGTTTGGGGTTTAGTTTCAGTTGATGTCTTCAGCTCCAGTACCACTATAATTAAGCCCCTTAGTCCACGTGAGCCAATGTTTGTGCCTTTTAAATAAAGTGATGTGCTTTACATCCAAGTTGTCAGATGGCAATAAAGACCATGTTGCTAAGAAATAAGTGACCTGACTTTTTACTATTACGCCCCCCCCCCCACCACAAAAAAAAAAACCCACTCTACCATGGGTGCAAAATATAGAAAAAAATATTTTCAGTTTAAAATATCTTCACCTATCAGAAAAAGCCAGTTATATTCAGCATTATGTCCTGAGTAAAAGATTAAAAAGTGGCTCTTCTACCTAATGACTTTTATTAGAATATTGCAATTTTTTTTTCAAAAGTGTCAAGATTGAAATTGCGAAAGGTTACAGAATTTCAAATGCAGCTGTAAAAGACCAATATAGCATTCTGTGCTTTAGATTACCTCCTTTTCTGTTTTCAAGGCTATAGCATTTCAAGACAATGTTAGAACCATTTATTTTATATTTTTAGAAAAAGACTAATTTTGGCTGTGTATGCTGCGAACCTAAATATCCTCCAGATGAAAATCTAGTCACGGTAGATAACCTTTGTAAAAGGATTTTGTAATAAAAGACCCTTTAGAGTATCATGAAGATTACCTTAATCCTTTCTGTAGTTCCTAATTGCAACAGATACAACACTTTTCAAACATGCATATTTCAAACTCTTGGAGCCAGTAAAGCTGTCTTATGTATGTAGTCTCTGATCATTTGAAATCCAAACATCCCATAAGGAGGGGGTCATAAGGAGGGGGTCATAGGATAGGACTATACTGCCATGATAGAATTTGGCTGTGAGGCTTCCTGTGGTCTGGTTTTACTTTGGTTCTCATGCCCTCAAGAAACCAGTGTTTCCTAATGCATCTTTTACTTCTTGTATTTTCAAAAGGAAAGTTTGCACACCCAAAGAAAATATCCTGTGAAAGAAAAACAATATATTCTGGAGACTTTTTCCAAGCAAAAATCTAAATTGAGTAACTGTTCTACCATGTCCATGAACACAGTGTAAATGACAATTATGTATAAACTGCTACAGTAAGTGGAACACCATCCAATTAATTACTCCCCTCCAAACAATGTTCTCTATATTTCTGCAAATACCCAAAGAAGCAAATAAAACAATCACACGCACTACATTATATCTGAAATTTAATCAAACGTTATTCTGGATGCACTATGTCCCAGACTTCGGCTCACAACTCACTGTTTTCTTGAGTAGTTCATGAATCATTCGGGGTCATGATGTGGCCCCCTGGTTTGGAGTTTCCAATTGGAAAGAAGGTGATGTTAGTTGCTGATGTAAGTAAAGCACTATGAAGTATCTGAGCAAGGAAAAATATGTTTTCCAACAAATAGAACCCTTCTATGGAGAAGCAGGATTGGGAAGATGTTTAGGTCTTGATCCCAAATCAGGATGAGAACACAGTACTATACTTAGACAAAGTTCCAATGAATATGACTTGAATAACTGTAAATAGCAGCAACAATAACCTTGAACTTCAGTAGCTCCTGGGGTACATGGTCATAATATCCTTGACTTTACCAAGCTTTTGTCCCAGCTGATGAACTAGTCCTTCATGATTACATAATATAAAGCGGCATACATTTATACCGCTCTCCAAAGAAAAAAAAAATACTAGTTATTTAATTAAAAATCCCACTAATTATATAGTAGAAAAGTAATGCAGCAATCATGACAGCATAGAAAGGGTGCTTTGCCAGTTATTGAGTTAAAATGCCTTTTCCTTATACCTTTAAAGATCAGTTTAAAGGGATGAATTTCTTCCGTGTAAGTGCAGCAGAGGTAAAAAGGGGCATATCAACAATTGATTATGTGGAGTTTTAGCAAAAGGGTAATAGATGAAGAGCTGCAAAACCAGATCTGCAAATTGATTTAGCAACACTCCAGCACTTTTAGTAAGCTACATGGAATATCCACCTCACAGAATTGTGATTAATTGAGTATACAGAGTTGGCTATTTGCCATTTGTAGTCCCAATATAGACCAGTCAGTTCCTTCACACTTTCCACAGAATTTGAGGGAAGCCCAAGTGTTAAATGTTACGGAGCTGCATTTTTCATGTTCTTTTAACAGAGACTAACCATGGTATTCATCTACACTCAAGCAAATCACTGTGCATCCACTGTAGCTGTTTTCAGTTGAGCTGTGCACAGGCATAAGAATACCTTTTGTGGTAAACACAGACAGTAACGTTTGCAAAAATATTATGGCAGGAGGTTAGCATCATAGCAAATGAAAACAGCTTTTTTTTTTTTTTATGACAATGACTAAAGTACCTAGAAGTATGGATTCAGTTAGGTGAATTGATGAGGTGACCACAAAATTTACATAATTAGGTAACAAGGCAGAGTTTCTCTAATTGTATCTATGTTAAAAAACTGCTACAGAAATATATGGATTTAAAAGCAACAGTTAAAATTATCAGTGGAAGCTTGCAAATACAAGGCAAAAATATAAGAATATAGAGTGGAATGATGGTGTGTACAAAATGGATTGTGGCAAAATTGTACCCAGAAGGAATGGCAGAGGATGAAATGGGGATTTAAACTATGCAGAACTACATAATAACACAAACTCTGAAGTCAAAACATCTTTCTAAAGGCTGGCATAAGATGCTTTTTAATATTTATAACTAAACGCTATTAATTATTATTATGGTGAAGTATCTATTTACCTCAGGAAAGATTAGTTTGCAGATGCTTTCCGTTAACGTGTGCAGGTACACTCTACTTCTGCTCGTTTTCCTTTGTGGCACGTTTCCTTGAGCATCTTTTTCATGGACTTCTTTGCAGATGGGCAGAGCTGCTCTAGAGCTGTTTTCTGTGCAGTCCTTGTCATGTTCCTCATTAATGTGACTTTGAGTCAGTAGGGAGAAAGGACATTCCCCTGTGATCTTCAAGTCTTTCAGTTTTGTACAGAACATACTGTACAAAGTCTCTCTCTTGAGATTAAGAGTACTTGGCTTTGTGTTTAATAGTTCTCTTCTGTTTACTAACAGGAGCAGATGATGCCAGAATAGTAGATAAGGCAACCACTGTGGAAGATTATTGGTAGCTATAAATCACCACAGGAACAAATGTGTGCCCCTACAAAACAAGAGAAAGAAAAAAAAAATTAAAAAGTTTATTTTCTCTAAATGCCCGTGTCGTGCCAGTTTTACCATATGTGCATTAAAATAATGACTTGTCTAGGACCTTGCTCAGGAAAGCACTTCAAGCTCATGTGCCACTTTAAGCATGCAATCCCTACTGAAAGTCGCATGTGTGCTTAAGTTCTTGGCTGCATTGGGGTTCTCGTAATTAAGGCAGAGGAGTTGTTTTATCTGATATATCTTTGGTCACATTGATGGATGAGGCTTCTGAAAGAGTAGAGAGGAGAATTCCAATGAGAAAACCTTTTTAATTCTTCATAAGCAGTTATTAAAAACTACCTGATAGAGCACAGTGAAACTGATTTGTTATGGATACTTAAATCTCAATTTACTTGATGCCCAAGACATTCTTTTTGTGATAGAGAAATATATGACTAAGGTCAGCACGTGCACTTCTGGAACAGCAAACTATCCAAGACATCCAAACCATCCAAGTTAGTGCCTCATGTAAAAGCCACTGACTGGTGACAGCTCACATCATGGGAATTTGACCATATAACTGAAATTGCTTGGAAAGACCAAGGGATTTTTATGCTTTTGAAGGTTGTATCTTTGAAACAACACATTAAAAAAAGAGGACTAAACTTTTCATATTAATAATTGAAGCCTGTTTGTTACATTTATTTCAGTTAGACAATCTGAAAAGGGCCCTTTCCTTAAGGGCATCATTTTCTATTGACTATATCTTATTGAATCAGACCCTCTCATCCTCATAATACTCTAACAAGGTAATCCTTGAGAGCTTTTGAGTACTCTGGAAGAAGCTGAAGTATTATATTTGCCTCTCTGGAGATGCAGTACAATAACTATTTCTTTCAGAGGCTATAATCAGCCTGGGCGCCACAATGCTTATTTCTGCCCCTGAGACACCCACAGGGCTTTTAGGGCCACACAGAAACTGTACCAGGCTTAAAAATAACTAATTCCTTGATACGGGTTATCAGCTGCTTCCTTTGAAAGAGCTGGAATGAATGGCCCAGCAGAGATGTGCTGCAGATCCAGCACAAGCAGCATGGGTGAGAGCAGAAACAAGCAGAAGTTGTTTTGGCTAGACCTGCTGCTGAAAAAAACAAATTTGGCAGAAAAGACCCTTTTAAAGTATGCTGTAATAGTGATGGTGTCAGGCCAGCATCTAGAGGATATCTATCCAAATTATTAAATTAATATTAAATTATTCTCTTAAGAATGCTTTAAATACAATGCTAAGAACAAGAGGCTGAGAAATGTTTACATAACATTCTATATTTCCGATTTCTGTTTTTACATAGAAACTCTTTTGTTTCTACTGCATGGATCCCAGTAATTCTGTATTTTTTATTGCTGAATACTGTTGTGTAGCAAATGAGGCAGTGAAAAATATCAAGCAAGAACCACACTCTCAATGCAAAAACATACATAATACTTATATTTATAATAGTTACAGATATATAAAAGTATTTTTATTCAGGAGTCATTATGTAATTTGTATTACTTTTCTAAAAAAGAAAAGCAGAAAAGAACCACCTCAGACTGATCTGTGTCCTGAAACAAACTTAAAAAAATAGTAACATATATATGTGCACCATTGTAAAAGGATAAAAAAAATTATGGCTTGGATGGATTACATATATATTCAGGTATTCTGCTCTATTTGGGCCTCAAATTTCAAGATAAATCTTGAATTTATAAAATAACACTACTAAATTTTTTTCAACCAAGTACACCAGCATTTTAGAAGAAAAAAATTTCTGAAATATATTTTTGTGAAAAAAAAAATGTCTAAAGAAACAATTAAAACATCTCCCAGTGAATGTCATACTGCATTTATATGTGCTGTTATAAACAATAAAAGAAAAAGGTTTCGCTTTCTGTGAAGAATGTAAGACTGAATTAATAGTTACATCAGATATCAACAAATATTTACTGCATTTGCACTAAACTAAGAACAAAGGAAATGAATGACCTTCATCAATTACCAATAGTTCTGATGTATTTTTTTTTCCTGCTGGTGAAACTATTTCTGTGTTTCTAGAAGACAATAATCTGGAATTATTTGGGGTTCACTTCCATGCTAGCATATTGTATTTTAATTAAATTGCATTTGATGTGGGAGGAAAAATTTTTTAGGCAGGTGGAATAAGCTCTGTGAAGGAAGTGATGCCATTACTTTACACCTGGAAAACCTGAGGTCTCCAGAAGCTGCAAAGCAGGAAGGAGAGGTCCCAGAAGATGATCATGGGCCAGAATGGGCACTGATGTGAAGGTCCCTGAGTCAACAAAGCTGCTGGACATGCAGCTGCTGTGTCTGCAGCTTCGTTATGCGATGCAGCCCGCCATCTTTTCTGCTGCAGGACACCCACATCCAACCTCCTCCTGTCCTGGTGGAGACTGGAATCTATGCCCTTGCTCTGAAAATGACCTTGGACTCCTGCCAATTGCTATTTATGACAAAATCATCATTGCTTTGCAAGAAAGTGGAGATCCATGATTTTTCTAGTAATAACCTTGTTGCACAAAGCCAGTATGAATAATATACAGATCTTTAAATTCCAAATAATGATGACACGGTTAATAACGAAAGCTTCCTGCAAAACTATTTTCTAAGCATCCTGAAGTTCTTGTTTTCCCAAAAACAAATGGGATGGTCCTTCGATAATATATATATATCCCAGTTCAAAACCTGTTTCAACTTACTAGGAATAACAATTTTCAAGCAGTGACTAATTCAAGACTCTTCCTGACCTCTGCAATGACAAGACCCCCTAAATCACATCTGTAAAGAAACATATGGGAAAAACTAATTCCATGATACTTCAGAGGATTCAAATACTGAAAAAACCCCAAACAAAAAAACCCCACCATATACTTTGTCTTCCTTTTATTAAAACATTAAGTTTGCATCTGGTATCCTAAGTGCATCTCACACTTAATACAACTAAGATTCAGAAAAAAAAGAATCTATTGTGTTATAGGAAAAACTGTATCACTCAAATGGTAATTAGGCAGTGGTTTTAAGGGTCTGACAGGAGAAGGATAATGAATCACCAGTGTAGAATTATAGGAGACATTTCAGCAGTATAATGAACATTAAAAGAGTATAAGAAAGATGATGGCACACGTCACACGTTGCAGATGCATTTCAAGAATGAGGAACACCAGCCCTCCCGTTGTTCACAATGTTTAAAAACATTTCCTGACCATAACAAAAAAATAAGAAACATGAGAAAACATGGGAAAAGTTTCTGGTTTTAATTCCTCTCCAAACATGCTCTGAGAGAGCTCATCCCAGGGGAGCAGCAATGTTTAATGTGAATTCTCCACCTCCACCACATTAATTGCTGTCATATTTACCTTGGGAAGCAAATTGAAAATTAAAATTAAATAATCTGCTGTGAGATCAAACTACAAGCAACCAATTTATTCAGTGTCTGGCTGAATGCAACATGGCACTCTGCCACTCAGAAAAATTAAGATGAAGTGGTACAGTCATAGCAGCAGAATAGCAGTGCTCAAAATGCTTTGTGCAAACATTTCATTATAATTTACATCTATACTTGTCTTACGGCCAAAATGCCTTCCTGTATGCTTATTTATACTCGTTGTTTCTGAGTATTTTCCTCTCTTAAAACACTTTCTTGACAGTTCCAAGAAATAAAGTGCTGTGAATCAATCATACAGTAAAACCCTCTAATATCAACACAGCCATTTATAAGAATTAAGCAATACCACTTGTTAACAGTAGCTAAAGGTGGTTTGTAATCTTAGTTTATGGACATGGCACAAAAATCAGAAGCAACATTAATACTCTTTTCTTATTACAAGCAGAGTCCTTTGCTCAGAGTAGGACAGAATATGGTATTATGCTATAATGTCCCTTTTTAATTTTTAATCATTCATATCACTTTGTTGGGTAAACAACTGCATGATGAGCAAGAATTTAAAAAAAAAAAAAAAAAAAGTTGGTTTTGCAGCAGTTGGAAGATCACACTGAATGGATCTAACTTTCTCCAGCATGAGTGCGACTGCAGCACTTGCAGGAGCTCAGTGTTGTCTGGGAGCCATCGCCTCAACAGAAGCAGCTGTTAACTTCTGTCTTGCCTTCATGTAAGACCAAGGCTTGCAATTTCCTCTCAGCTCTAATCTCTGTAGGACTCAGAAATCACTGCCTTTTGCCCCTTGCCAGTCAGTGGGCTTCTGCACAGAGCAAGGCAGGAACCGCTCCTTTTAAGCACAGGCAAAGCACAATCAGCTTCTAGCAAGCCAGGTTAGTACCCATCACCCTATCGGTGGCAGATCATTGTGGATTCAGCTGGTGTGCCCATCAGCAGGCAAACACAGGGAAAATAACTAAATCCTACCATCTTGTCTTATTAATCTGAAGTGCAATATCCGCGCTTTACTTTTTCTGCCTCAAGTGCTGTGTGTAGAAACAGAACTGAAGCCCTGGTGATTTGTCCATTCCCAAGGATTTTAAGGAGGCTTCTAAAATACTCAAAGAAAATTGCTTAAGTCAGCATCAGTATGTAAGTTAATATTTTAATAAGTCAAAGAAAGTATTTATTAGTGTTATTATATCTGTACAAATAAATAAGCTTCCTTTGATGGTTTCATTGGGAACTTAAGCAAGTTCAGAGTGCACACAACTTCAAAGCATTAATTTGTTTGGGTATTGCTGCTTTGGAGAGCAGAAGATGTAAGTAACTGGAGGAGATAGGCAGATCTGTTTACACGTTTCTAACTGGCAGTGAGTCAGACCTAATAGAAAAGTGCCGATTGTTGACTTAGGTACAGGACATCTTGGAAAAGATGTGCCTTTGTGAAGATGAGCGAGATGTTTTCCTGCATCTCCCCAGTCAGAGACTAACCCATCAACTGAAATTTGAGGATGCCTCATTTACCCATTTCCAGTAATTTGGTCCTGTTGTTAACACAGTAAATACATTTGCTAACCTACTG